GTCCAGGGTGTCCCTGGGATGGACTGGAGACCTGTCCAGGGTGTCCCCTGCCTCTCATACAGTGACTGCTGGACATGGACACCAGTGACCCCCACGTCCCGGACAGGAACAAGCGGGTAAAGAAGATGGATTGATCTTTTTCCATGAAATTTTGTGAAACGCCACGACTGATCAACAGACCACGAGACAAACGGCGCTGAACGTCAACGGGGACCGTCCCAACCGTTGGCGCCGAGCTGCGGGGTCGTGTTTCGTCCAGACAACAAACAGCTTCAGGACTCGGGTCGGAGGAGGTCAACCCTCCACTGGTTTCCTCCTAAAGTCACCAGATGTGTCCAGCTTCTGCAGCTAATGGAGACATTAGGAACAACGGTAAAACCACCAGTAAGAGGACGAAGCAGCTCGGAGCGGACGGCCCCGGCTGCGTTGACTTTATTATAGGTCAGCGTGTGCACGCCCTCTAACTGCAGCCCCGCCGTATGAAACCCCAAATAATACGTCTCCTTTTAGAGAAATCATCGGGTGTTGCTGTGGAATGCAGCAGCATTGTGGTGAGGCGTTCACAAAAGAGCAAACAACCACCGGAGAGAGACAAAAAAAGGACAATCTGTTCTCAGAAGACGCTTCGTGCTTTTCAAACACCGGAGACAAATTTAACGAGTTCTCACACACGCTCCGGACCCGAGCGCTAATAAAAGCTGCCGAGGTTAGCCCTTCGGCTTCAAAGTCTAATTATTAGATGTTAGTATCCATGAGATCCTCACCTCTCTGTTTGTTCACGAGCCATGATACTCCCTCCACCGTGCTCAGTAGGTGAGACGAGGCCCCCGTATCGGTAATGGTTCGGACCTTCGGCTGTTTGTACCTCTGAGGTGCACGAACCGACGTTCAAACTACAGAAACGTGACAAACTGAGCGCTTTTTAAAAAAAAAATACTGAAGAAGCTAAAACAGAGTTGCTCAAGCTAAAAAGAGCACAACACCAGCTAAAAGCTAAATGCTAGTTTAAAACACAAAAATCAAACTGAAAGCTAAAATACAAGTACTTAAAAAAAACCACTGTTGACCAACATGTTGTGCTTTTAGTTCGTTAATTACTTAATTAATAAGATTCAAGATGGCGGCGGCGCTGTGGTTGGTTTGCCTGCCTCTGCAATAAAAGCTAAAAATACAAATTGTAACTAAATACCAAAATCTAGCTGAAAGCTAAATGTAGCAGAATTGTAGATATGAGCAAGGGTGGAATATCTGAGCTAAAAACTACAAATGGAAGAACAGTAGCTAAATGTAGCCGAATTATAGGAGTAGCAAAACACTAGCTAAAAGTAGCAAGAGCCAGCTAAAATCTAAATGTAGGAGTTTTTAGATACAATCTAAAAGTAACAAAAGGTGACAGACGATAGAAGTAGCAATATGTAGCTAAAATTAGTAGAGGCCAGCTAAAATTAGCAAAGGCTAGCTAAAAGCTAAAAATGGTAGAACCATAGCTAAAACTAGCAAAGGCTAGCCAAACGCTAAATTTAGCTGAATTGTATACAAAAGCCAAAGGTATAAAATTGATAGAGCAGTTGCTAAAAAAACAAAACAGCTAACTAAATGGTAAAATAACTCAACACTAGCTGAAAGTAACAACGGTTATCTTAAAGCTAAATTCAGTAAGAGGCTAAATAGAAGCTAAAATAATAGAACAATTGCTAAAAGTATAAAACAGATAGCTAAATGATGAGGTGCAAAACTAGTAAAATGTAGCAAAGCTTAGAAAAAGCAACATTTAGCAACAGGCTAACTAAAAGCAGCATAACAGTATCTAAAAGCAGCCAAACAGTAGCTAAAAGTAGCTAAAACGTAGCTAAAAGCAGCAGAGCAGTAGCTAAAAGCAGCAGAACAGTAGCTAAAAGCAGCAGAACAGTATCTAAAAGCAGCCAAACAGTAGCTAAAAGCAGCCAAAAAGTAGCTAAAAGCAGCAGAGCAGTAGCTAAAAGCAGCATAACAGTAGCTAAAAGCAGCCAAAAAAGAAGCTAAAAACAGCAAAACAGTAGCTAAAAGCAGTAGTGCAGCAGCTAAAAGCAACAGAACAGTAGCTAAAAGCAGCCAAAAAGAAGCAGCAAAACAGTAGCAAAAAGAAGCAGAGAAGCTAAAAGCAACAGAACAGTAGCTAAAAGCAGATAACAGTAGGTAAAAGCAGCAGAGCAGTAGCTAAAAGCAGTATGACAGTCACTAGAAACAGCAGAACGGTAGTTAAAAGCAGCAGAACAGTAGCTAAAAGCAGCAGAAAAGTAGCTAAAAGCCAAAGTTAGTAAAAAAAAACAGAGTTTACTGATGCAGGTTTCAAAGTTTTTCAACTTTTTCATCTGAACTGAATACATTTATTTTTATTTTTTGTGGAGTAAATAAATTTGTAAATAAAGTTTAATTTTCTTTGACTTGTCCAAATCACAAAACCCAGACGTCCCAGCAGCTGTCTCCTGAACGAGCCGAACATTTGTGTGTTTGTAACAAAGAAACAAAACGGGCCGTGCAGCTCGAGATCAGCTCCAGGTTCGCCTGTTCCTTCGGCTGTCGGAACAGCCACATCTGTGTCAGCGCAGTTTGAAAAATACAATCCTGACAGAACGTGAAACATGCAAGCCGAAGTGTTTGAGCAGAAACAGCCGAACTCAGCTAAACAGCAAAGAGACTGCAGAGAAACAGCAGGAGGATGTTCGGCTGCAGGCCTCAAGGTGGGCCCAGTTCTGGTCCTCTGAGTTTCTTTGTTGCTCTCCGTTTTAAACATCAGCTAAATAAACGACGGGGGGGGGGCACAGAGGACAGAAACCACAGTGGAACTCGGCGACGGTCAGCCAGGCCCACCACGCCTCAGCAAATGTTTGTCCAAACCTGTTATTTCTGGCATTGTGCTGTCTCAGGGAGATCATTTCTTTCTCCGGCAGGAATGCAGCAGCTAAAAATAGTTTGCAGCCGAAGGAGGGGAAATCAGAGATTTGTGGAGTAATTACAGGGAAGAGTGGAACCCTTCTGTTACGCTTCATTTTTCATCGCCCTCTGTCTCCACGACTGTCTGAGGCCAAACGGACGTCTTCTCAGAGGGACACGCTCATCTGATGTTTGACCTCTACATACCCCCCCCCCCCCCCCCGGCCCGCCCTCCCCCCCCCCCCCCCCCCCCGGCCTGCCTTAAAGACTCTAAACAGCCGAACAACTTGCTCTGACCGCGACGTTCAGCTCATGATTGTCAAACTTCTCGTCTCGTTCAGTCGGTGATTAGAAAAAGCCGCCGATGAGCGACCGGCGATGACGCGGCCCACGTCGCTCCGACGGCGGGTAAACGGACGAGGCGGCCTCAGAAGCTCCACGGCTCGTCTCATAAAACGACGATCTCATTTAATACGACAGATTATTCCTTTCTGCTGTAAAATCAGCTGCTTTTTACATTGTTTTTATTTTTGGTTGAGTCGTTTTGTTGTGGCGTGCGGGGCCGCGAGACGCTTTTAGTTTAGCTCCACCGGACACGAGCAGACATCGGAACGCTCTGTAGTCTTTCCACAAACGCCTCATCTTCATCATCAGTCCAACCAGGTGGTTCGATCCATCATCTTCATCATTAATCCAAACAGGATCCACAACAGCTCGAGCTGAAGCTGATTCAGGACCAGTTTGTCCCACCTGAAGTTTCATTCGCTGCTACATGTCGCCCCCGTGTGGACGAACAGAGAATTACACCAGAGTTTTCTTTTCTCGATCATCACCCGTCCATGGACATAAACTGGCCATAATGTTTCTGCACGTGCGTGCGCGTGCACGTACAACTGATCACCTCTTCTGGGCCCGACCTGCTCCAAGATTGACCAAGAAAACACAAAAATCTCTGCAGCTCAGTCAAATTCACAAATAAAATTTAGGGCTGTCACTCACTAAGAGTCAATTCTGACTGTTAGCAAAATATCTCATGTGCCACCAGATGGATTATAATGAACCTCGCAGGAATTAAAGATTGTATATCTACAAGAAGCCACCACACAAACGAAGACTCAATTTGTAGAACAGCGCAGTTGTGAAAGTGTTTAATGAGTAAAAACTGCTCCAACTTTATGGTTTCTCTTAGGAACAGTGTAAAACTCTGGTGTTTGAAGCAGCAGGCGACATGGACTCCTGCACTTTATTTATTTTTTTATATTTAAAGTGTTCAAGTTCACCTTTTATCTGCACGTCAGCGTTTTTGATGAAGCTGCGGTTGCCAGGTTTCACCCAACACGCTCAACTAAATACGCCACAAAGTCTGATGCTACAACATCAGATCATGTCAACTTGTACAGAAATCAACATGTTTATGTTGTTATTGTTTTTAACAAAGTCCAGCTGAAACTGCAGGGTTGCCAAATATGAAATGACAAATAATCGCACTATAAACGGTCATGTGTTGTGATTGGAAAACGTGCTCACAGGAGAGGAGGTTGCACCTGACCAGCACAATCCATCTGGTTTTTAGGTGTTCATATGTTTAAGGAAGTGTTTTTGGTGTTAGATAATCCCCAGATGTGTGCTTATTATAAATGATGTACCTTTTATCGTACAGACCCTTAAAACGTAATACAATTAGGATAACTGTCTGAAACCTGGCAACCTTCATTTTCCACAGTTATGGCGCCCCCTTGCGGTGCAGTGGATTTCTGCAGCCGGGTTTAAACTGAAAAAAATAAAATAAAAACAAATAACCCCGAATTAAAAAAAAATAAAAAATTAAAATGAACTTTAAACTCCCACTAAAATTAAAATGAGGGCTTTAGAACCGCTCCATGTGAAATAAATCGCTCTAACTGCCCGGTTTCCTTTTCTAACTGACGGATGACGTCACTCCCATTCAGCCTGGAACGGACTATCGGAGCTCCTGAATTCACTCAACCTGGATTTGAATCCGGGAACGGCCCGCGTGTAATCCCGGATTATGTTCCGCAGGGAAGTTTTAGAGGCAGAAATGATGCAGATGAACGTGACTGTGGAGAAGGAGAGACACAACTGGGTGAGCAGAGTCCCGCCGCCATTAGCTAGCTCAGCTAGCTCTGCTAGCTGCCTGGTTTTAGCAGTTTCACACAAAAAAAAAAAAAGTGAGTTTGGATTAAACACGTCAATTCAAACTTTTTAAAACTAAAAACTTGATCAGTTTATTGAAGCTAGGAAGCGGCAAGTTCAAAGGCGCCAACAAACTCTCTTAAAGGGACATTCCCGCTCTTTTTTAGCCTCATTGTCCAACGGCAGATTTTCTTGTTTTTAACTAAATTAAAATTGTTTTTAAACTCAGGGTTGACGAGAGAAACGAACGTAAGAAACGTGACTTTGAAGGGCGGCTCTGCTGAAACTGTAGCCCACTTTTTAAAAACCCTTTGCAGAAAGGGCTGTCGCCATGGAGACGGATGAAACAATGACGTCATCACTCAGCCGCCCAGTGGCTTTTAAACCCCAAAACACATTAAAGACTGGTTCATCCCAAAGATCCAGTCCCCCGGCACAAACAGAGTAATGTTGTGTATGCTGTTCAGTGTCAGGAGGGTGATCAGTCTTACATCGGGGAAACTAAACAGCCACTGGCCAAAAGGATGGACCAGCACAGAAGATCAACATCATCAGACCAGGACTCTGAGGTCTACACTCATCTCCAGGTCAGAGGTCACTCTTTCAGGGATGAAGATGTTCACATCCTGGACAGAGAGGAACGATGGTTTGAGAGAGGAGTAAAGGAGGCCATCTTTGTGAAAAGAAACCTGGAGGACCTGACTCAACTTTGGTTGTTGTTGTTGTTGTTGTTGTTGTTGTTGTTGTTGTTGTTGTTGT